GACCTTGGCGGTGGTGTTGAGGCTTTCAAGAGTGTCTTCTTCTATCGACAACACCCAACTCCACCTATGTTCCACTAAAAAATCGAAAAAACCACTTTCCATGGTGTCTGGTTTTTCTGAAAACTTCGGAACTACGCTAAAATGACCTGCCGACTCAAAGCGCAACCAGATCTATCCATGATTGCGCTCCGACTCCGGCATACAATAAAACAGATATCGCTTGTTTACTTGCTATGGAGGAAACCTTAAAGCCGTTTTCTTTACACAAAAGATTTGGATATCAATGCTATGGTGTTCTGCTTTGGGTGCGACGGGTCGCCAACGGCACCTTCTGGCGTGCTCAAGAGCTCACCCGCGCTATTGGTCAAGCCTTCAACTGTAACCTGCCTCAGTTCGATGGCTTCCTGCGCTACTCAAAAGATGAGGATAGATGGGCATGACTCCCTGGTCTGGAGGAACGAGGGTGTTGGCGGAAGCTAAGGTTCTACTTCGATGTATATAAAAGGGCTATCATCTTTGCTTTCTACTACCTGTATTCTACACTCAAGTCTTCCTCTTATCAAAAAAGCTGTTGCATCGATCCATGGCGCTTGCTCTTCTCAAAAGTACTACTGCAGAGTTCGATGGCTTCTCGGCCTGGGGTATTAGCACATTAGATAGATGGCATAGTTCAAATTCAACTCATATCCAAACAACATGATCATCTTCTTATATGGCTACAATCCTACGTGATCTTTCCCTTCATTGAAACCCGAATGTACACACCTGATGACCTCCTGCCCTTCTCAACGGTGCTATCCCAGCACACGATGGCGTCTCGGACTGAAACGATGCTCAACACGAGGGATAGCAGAGTCTGGCCTCACACTCATATATAAAGCCACCTTTGTTCTTGCCTTCTTCCTTCGACACACTACACACTTTCCCTTCCTTAACACCAAAAGTGACATGACTTCCCACTTATGGCTTTGCGGGCTTCTTCCAAAATCACCGTCACGTCCAGCGATGAGTGTCCGATCCGAAAGCCTCGAGAGCCGTATCGATGACGAGACCCCACTTTGACCTCAAACATAAAGCCCGCCGTCTTCTCGCTTTCACCTTTGACCTTTATTCCAAACTTCTGCTCTCTGCATACCAAAACTAAGTTGGTCATCCGTCATGGGTTTGCGGACTTCTCCCAAAATCAATCGCATTATTGTCCAATGACCTGTAAACACGCCAGATGAAGCTCAGAGTACTGGCGAGCGGTGAAAGCCACCCCAGGAATCCAAAAAGGCAGCTGAAGTGCCGAATGTTGCTGTGTGTTGACTGTTGAAATTATGGAACCCGGAGCACATGATGGATGCTGGTACCAAGGAGTGCATATACCGTATCCCCACCTCGGGTCCCCTATAAAAGCTACCTCCTTCCTCGCTCTTCTCTTCCTTTACAACACACTTCCACTATTTTAAAATACCAAAACAGAGCACCATGTAAGCCATGGCTCTCCGGTCTTCTTCTTTTCCAAAACGACCATGGTATCCGACAATGACTTTGCGGTCGGCGAAAGACTTTAATGTCTTCCAACCTTATCCATACATTATCCCAGATCCTAAAAACATACTCATCAAATACATGTCAATTACTCGAAAGCAAGCAGCAAAACGAACACCATATGCGGCAAGACGTGCCAGAAAAAGACCCCAATACATCTCATGTGCGGTTAAAGTCGTCAAAGACTAACATTTTTAACATATGAGCGCGCAGCTGGGGGACTGTATATATAAACTTCCTCTTTTCGCTGCCTGCTTCTTCTTTATCCACATATTTTTATTCCGCATATTCAAAGTGTAGAGATACAGTTGCATGGCGGCCGTCTCTCCCGTCTCCAAAACAACGATAAAGACTGTGCATGGTGTGCTCTTGGAAGTCGCCAAAAGCGTTGATATTCAAGCGTGTGAGCGGCCATCGGGAGGAGTGAACATATAAATGTCCTCTTCGCTGCCTCTTTCTTCTTTATCCACACGTTCTTATTCCGTATATCCAAAAACCCAGTGCAGACATATGATGGCAGCCGTCTTGCCGGTCTTCTAAAAGAAAATTAAGCAGCATTATGCTGTGTTGCTGGAAGTTCCAAAAATCGCAAAGCCATATCTCTATGAGCGCGCAGTAGGCTGGGTATAAATAAACCTCCCCTCTGCGCGGTCTCCTTCTTCCTCATCTACACATTTCCTCCTCCACATATACAAAAAGCCCTGGAACTCTGTGGTCATGGTGTCTGCTTCTTTTTTCTTCTTCCAAAAATACAGACAACCGCAACGATGGCGTGCTTGCGGGCTTTGCTGCGATCAAAACGGGCGTTCAAGATCGTGATGAAAGCGACGAAGCTGTTCCAAAATGCTACGTGATGAACTCATGGCCAGAACTCCGGTCCGGAGACTCAAAATACGCCTTTCATCGTAACATATGAGTCGGTTGGGAGTGTTGAAAGACTACACCAATGTCCTGATGCTTGCCTCGTTCTGGGATTCGTGTGCTGTGGATGTATAAAGCTTTGCTCACAGATCGTTCTCTTCTTCTTTAGTTACCTACGCTGTTCTTGTTGAAACCAAAAAATGTGGCGGTTCAATTCCATGTTCTTTTGTGTCCGGTCTCCTAAAAGTAGCAGACAGCAACAACATGTGTGCGGAAGTTGTCGAAGGAGAGGCTTTTGGGGGCGCGAGGCTTCTACTAGGCTATTGCTGTCACTAAAAGGCTGGTGTCAGAAGTGATGTCGTTACCCTGCTTTGTTAGGGCTAGCATACAGGAAGACATCGAGAAGAACACGCGTGTGTTGCCTGGGCTCAATCGTGTGTTTGTATTACGTTAACCCAATCTGTCGGTCGTTCTCGTCATCTCATCTGGCTCATACCATTGTCATTACTACCCCATCCTCAGACCCCTCTTAACCCTGCATCTCAATTCCTCCACTCCCGTGGATTACCTCGCCGGTACAATAGCTCCCCAACGGACTAGCGAGATGCACATAACACGTCGCCATCTCGACCGGCATTCCCGGGCGGTTCAGCGGGCAAGCACCCACACCCAAGCTATCCATCGCATCAGCCGGGTTGTTCTTAGTCGCGGGCTGAAGCGGCGTCCAGATAATGCCCGGCGCAACAGCGTTAACACGGATTCCGTTTGGCGCTTGCTGCTGGGCTAGGCCGCGGGTGAAGGTTACGATGGCGCCCTTTGTAGAGGCATAGTCGAGAAGCATGGGGTTGGACATGTAGGATGCGACTGAGGCGCTGTTTACGATGCAGTCGCCGCGCTTCATGTGCTTGAGCGCGTATTTGGACATCGCGAACATGGAGATGACGTTGGTGTGGAAGGTCTTCTCGGTTACGTCGAGGTCGATTTCGGTTATGTCTGTGCAGGCTTCTTGCATGGCGGCTGTTGGATGTTAACAAGCTGGTTCGGAGGTCATGTGATAGTTATGGTATCTTACCGTTGTTGACTAAGACGTTCAGCTTGCCAAAGACCTTCATGTGTTGCTCAACGGCTTGCTCGCAGTTCTTCCTCTCCCGCAGGTTGAGTTGCATAAGGTTTGCTTTGCGGCCTGCTTCTTCAATCTTCTTCTTGACGTATTGCGCATCCTCCTCTTCTTCGGGCAAGTACACGATGCTTACATCTGCGCCTTCTCTTGCGAACAGGATAGCTACAGCGCGTCCGATACCAGAGTCTCCACCTGTGATCAACGCAGCCTTGCCTTGCATCAACCCACGACCTTCATATTCCTTAAGGTAGGGTTTCTGGTTCTCGTCCCAGAACTCGAGACGCGACCATTCTGCCTTTTGATCGGTCTTTGCGTCTAGACCAGGGCCGCCTTCTTGGTTTTGAGGTGTGATCTCTGTAGCAGGGTATGCGGTAACTGGGCCCTTGTTGTCGCTCATCTTGAAGGTAGTGTGGCTAAAGGTACGTGTAATTGGCCTGAATAGGATAGAAGAGGTGATTGGCTTCCGGAAAACAAAGTTCCAAGATCTGATGATGGTTGTTTTGAACATCTCTGTCGATCGGGGGGTAGTAATTGTAGGGGCCGGTTTTGGTGGGGTTGGGATTTGATGCGATCGTCATCGAGCGTCATCGTTGGAATTCAACACCACGTCACGACGCTGAGTCTGGACTGAGGCTTTTGAAATTGTTCATTAACCGGTGCATAGAATAGCGATAACGAGGACACCAGGTGAGCATTGGCTTACCCATCTGATTGATGGAAGTCGCGTTCTCTGCTCCAAACGCGTCTGAGCCGCTTCGCAGGTGTGCGTGCGTGCACAGATCATCCACGTCGGAAAAGCAACGACACGCTCACAATCGAGGAGAACCTTGAACGAACACCTGCTGGAGGGACGAGGGCCAAGAGTATCGGGTCCGGGACGTATAAGGATATAGTAACTGGAAGATACACCAGCGACCAATCTTAACTCCCGCATTTTGCGAAGCTACCTAGGTGATCAGGCCTGGAGCATCATTCTTGCCCCCAGCCTCCCGTCGGCAAGGGTGTAACGAAGGCTTGCACGTCCATGGAATGATGATAAGGTCTTGTTGATGCAGGTCGGTCACCGCAGCTCTTCGACTACCCGACGTCTCGCGTTCCAACCTAGGCCCGGCCAAGCGTCCGCTAACTTTCACGCAAGCTGAATTTTCTCATGACGAGTCTGCGCAGTGGCAGGCCAACGACAGCATTTCGAAACTATGTGCCGCGCATTTCATGCTGCTTGAAGAGAACAGAGGAGAAGATGGAGAGTTTCAGGGTCTTGGAACCTTCGTCATGATTCCATTGGAAGGGGGCGCCAGGGCCCTTTCAGGATTAGTCCGACGACCTTACCCCACCGCCCCTGATCCGTGCCGCCTTCCGCTTCCCGTCTCATCTCACCGTTTGTTCTCCAAGTACTCTGCATCAACGCAGACCCAACCGCCATTGTCTGTGATCTTTGTGAATACTTGGAAGTGCTTCTCGAACAACATTACTCTCTTCAATCGCAATGGACCCATCACTCGAAAGTGATGTACTAAACCGAAGATCGTTAATTCTAACGTACCGAAATTACAAGAACGACACGGAGTACATCGCTGGTTGGCTTGCATGGACATCGGGGAAATGCGGATACATCAGAGCTATCAACGAGCCGGAGTCTCAGCAGAAGGCGCCGCGGAAGAGGGGAAAGGCAGGCAAAGCTCGTAAGCCAGCCAAGAAGACACCGGAGCCTGTGACCCCAGCTCAATATCCCATACGCGTCTCCGAGTTCGTAGAGATGGCTGAACATATTGCTTCATTTGATCCCAAGATCGAAGTCCCAGCTGCGCTACAACAGGTGTTTGACCGAGTGATCTTAGCTCGGAGCAAAGTGGCCAGTTGGTTCGAGAAAGGGCACTCGACCGATTACGTCAGCAACCACAGGCACTCCTACTTTATCACCGTTCTGGAAAAGGCGGCAAAACTGCTGAAGCCTCTGATACCAGAGACGCCAGTAGTTTCTGAGAACATCAAGCTACAAAATAGGTTCGCCGGGCTTACGGTCGAAGAGACGGACCCACTGGACGATCTCATCACCGAAGTTAAGGAGAAGCAATTGCCCAAAGTCGACCCTATCCCGATTGAGCAAGACGAGGAGAGTCTCGAGCACGACTTCTTCTTCGCTATCGCGACATTTCTTGAGGAGATCTACGACGTGCGAGCATGGATTGTGCGAGAGTGGGATGAATATCGGCAGACAGGTGAAGGTCTCACACGCGCGGCAGTGCTTTCCAATACGGCCGTCGATCTGGTGCGATCTGCTGAGAATCAATTCGATCAGATGCTCGTTCGTCCCAAGAAGTAAGGCTAAGTCATTGTAGTGCCCGTATACACAAGCTGACGGAGATGATTGGATACCCCGCCAAGGATTACCCTGTTTGGACTCTTCCGGCACTGCTTTACGCTCGCATGCACGATTTCTTTTACTACGGCGATGTCAAAGACAATGTCGATAAACTGGTCAAGCCGTCTATGAGAATCCAGACAAACGATCATTTGTGCGAGCAGGAAACATATTGCATGTGGCACGTCTATAGCGGCCTAAAGGTATATTTGTTATCACAGACGGGCCCACTTCACACTCGACAATCTCACATAACGCGAGAGTCATTCGCTAGTGACGCAGACAAAATGGCGCTGGAGGTCTTTGAGACCCTGGAATGGGCTCAGTTCTTCGACGTCGCAAGTCATCCCCATCTGTCTCATTTCGCCGTTGACGAGACTGCTCGGGGTATCAAACACATGATAACTTTCAAAGAGATTCCTATATGGCTCACTGTAGCGGTACAGATGTTCTTTGACGTTGAGTCGGTGTTTGAAGAGGAGGGCACGCTTGCAGCGCCTTTCCGCGAGTACAAAGAGACCGTTCGTAAAGCCGCGAAGGATTTCTCCAAAATTGATCCTATCGAGCGGCCGTTCAAGGGATCTGCGGATTCCGACAAAAAGATAGCCTCGATCTATCAGAACATGCGTAATATCTTGAGCGATCATCAAGACTACGCGATTCGTGATCGCTGGGGAAGATTCATACAGAAGATCAAGGAGGACAAGCATGAGCCACTGAGTAAAACTGTAGACGAGCGGGATTACGGTACGTTTGGATCATATTGGTGTTACAAGAGGGCTAAAACTAACTTGCGACAGTCTTGAAAAGGCATCCGATCCGCTGCGGGCTTCTGAAGTACGAACTACAGCTACAGCTTAATCACAGAGCTTCCAAAATCGAGCAGATGGCGGGCGACATTCTTTACATGGCCTGGCTGTATGTTGCGGTAAGCCGGATACTGCACCCGGAGATGCCCCGATGGCCTGACATGGAATATCTACTCAACGGTCGACAAGACAAGCTGTTCTTCGGCGAATGGCCAAAGACTCTCGACGAAGTGGGTAAGAAGATTGATCTCGGACGCGGCTACTCCATTGCCAACAAGGCGAGCAATCGGCGTTCAAAGAAGGACACCTGGGACAACAAGCAACTGCGCCGACTCGATGACCCAACTGTGATCGGAGAACTGTTTTTGAAGCGGATGGGTGCGGAACCCAAATCAACAGCAGAAGCCCACGAATGGGTGATGAAGTTAGTCAGCCTGGTGTGCAAGCCAGAGTCGCAGAAGATCTTGGACCGACAAGAAAACTTACCCCAAGGTACTTACGAAACATCGGAGTTCTTGAAGTCCGTGGAATTGCAACGCAAGCCCTTAGCCTTGCTCGGAGAGATTCGCCAGTGGCTCCTAGCGGATGAAAACGACCTGCACTTCGACTGGTTCGGTATGTTGTCTACCTGTACAGACATCTGGAAGACAATTATGCCGGCATTTCGCAAGAATCCCGTGTTCAAAGACGACCCTAACATCTACAACTGGAACGTTAATACTGTAATCACTGTACTCAAGACAGAATCTATCGCGCAAGACATGGGTACGCCTATGCCAATCTTTGAGGCGGTTTGGGAAACTTTAAAGCAGTTCATCCAGATCCCAGTATCAAAGGAAAGCGGCAGCAAAACATGGAAGGGCGATCTACATTTGGCCAAGCTTGTAGATGTTTGCAACCCTGCGATGACGTTGATGAACCCAGGGCCTGTCAGCTTCATGAATCTCTATGCAAACTGGAGTGATGAAGACAAGAGAGACTCTCGTGTGGGCAGAGCAGTTTGGTATGCAATGCAGGCATTTGGTGCTAGGACCGGGAAGGAGAAGAACACCAGAGAGAGCGTGAAAGAAGAGACAAATGGTGAAGAGTCAGTCAGCGAGATATCAGCCGCCGAGGAGCCTGTCGACGAGGAACCAGCCGACAAAGAGCCAGTGAACGATACACCCGCGGATGAGGACGAATCCAGCGAGCACTCAGGCAGCCAAGACGATGAGACAGCTGAAATCGACGAAGCAGCTTCGGATGCTGGTAGTGGCATCAGTATTCAGGAATTCTCTTTGGACCTTAATGCGCTAGCTAGCCAGTACAAGAACGGCGGCAACAACATCATCTTCATGGGCAACAAAATGAAAGCGCCGGTAGCCATCAGTCGCGCGCAGATGGGCCAGCTACGTACGGCACCCAATGGGGACTTCGTATTGCCCGGCGGACCCCCAAGCCGGTCTTCTCGAGTACAAATGCTACCCCCACGGAAGTCGAAGCGTGTTCGTGGTGTTCGTGCGATAGCTACGACGGAAGATGCCCCCGATCTGTGTGCTTGCGGTCTCAGTCGGTACGGAGTGAGTGTAAGGCCGATACCGACAATGAACACCAAGGCAGCGAAAGTGGAGCACCAATGTATGGGAGCGCTATTCGAAGGGATCGACGTACCGGACCGTGACCTCGGTGACGCTATCAAGGTGACACGACGCAAAATTCGAGGTTCGTGAAGTTGGAAAGAAAGAAGGCAGACTCGGATCTCGTAGCATGGGACCGCGGAGGTAGCATAGCTAGTCAATGTATGTAGTCGACCACGATGTCTTCCGCACTTAGGTTTCCTGCTAGCGTTCGCTCCATGATACAAACAACCTTCCTCGAAACAGGCTGTTACAGCAACGACAGTGACGACATTACGAACGCACCACGTACTGCCAGGTGCTTGCTGGAGATGCATCGCACCGTGCCTCCAACCTTCGGCTTTCTTTGCACCCACCAAAAGCTCACAGTAAACAACCACGAACACGACCCCAGCGCATGAACGTTCGCCTTGGAATGCTGCAGCAAGGTGCAGATCAAAGCCAATGCAGTTGCACGATAGACGCTGGAAATAAAGTTCTCGCACAAAACCAATACCCGGGTGCGTGTTTTCGCTAACAGAGACATGCCGACGGACGATCAGGTAGGTTACCGCTGCTAATACCCATGGGATTGTTTCCGAAAAGCAATTTAGATGCAGGTCGCACGCGGCGCAGCTGTTCAAGATCACCAGGAACAATTCAATGCGTTGCTTTTGATGGACTATTGTACCATACTTGGACGATTGGCCAACAGCAACACAGGAAATTGCATGTGGACTGCGCCACGAGATGACGCTGGAACAACAATCCAGGATTCCAGGCGTGAACACAGAGTTTATGTCTTTGCTGGCATGCCATGCGTTCGCTTGGTCAAACTGTCGAAAGGAATGGAAGATGACCTCAAGAGGTCGCTCTTGCCCAACTGTGGTGTTCGGAGAAGGGTAGACAAAGCGGGGCGCTTGATGGGCGTCTGCGATGTTACTAATCGTGCGACTACCATATTTGACTACCTTGTTTGGTAATCTCCATACGTCAGTAAGCTAATGTCGACGCCGCACACTCCCTACCGATAGTCGTCACGGCCGGTAAACTTCCAAAATGCGCTCGCATGCATCCGAATCCTCCGGATCAGACGGACGCATAACTCAACGAGGAAGGTCAGGCCCTCCTCGTGGCGACATGTCGATCGTTGAGCGGAGAGCCAGCATCTGGACCAGAGTGGAGGAAAAGTACCAAGGTTTTCGGCAGTGCTCACGCGTGTCGCTCGTATTACCAGGGAGGCCGGAAAGCGATCAGTTGCTACGATTTCAAATGCCCGTTCGGTAAGAGTTCGCCAACCTGCGTTGTTTGAAACATAGCACGGCATTGTCTCAAACAACCAGACGTTTTCGTCGCAGGAGTGAACCAAAATTCGCCGCATGCGCCGGTGATGTGTTGGGAAGCGATGGGTCTTGTCGATAGGCTGTTTATCGATAGCCCTCTGGCGGCTGAAACAGCGGCGTCGTGCGGCAGCGGAAGCGCCGTATTCACCCCTGCTGCCACGACACGCAGCCGAGGGGCGATCCGACCACGAGAAAAACTGCCCCAAGTCATTACAAACGAAAACCAACATGACATCACGCCTTTTGATTCGTTCTTTTGACTGATGAGGTTGATCTCGGTGTTTTCCGAGATCCACCCAAAATCTTGAGACTTCGATGTCTGGGCTTCGAGACCTCAGGAATACGAAAGTACGTGTGCAAACTCCACATGAGGTTGAGAATGGCACAGCAGGCTGAGACACCGACAGCTGCGTGACAGAATTAGTACTATGCAATAAGAAGGGGCACAGTTCGTCATCTCTACGCCGTACGTAGGCGCGCAGATGACTACCAATGATAGTGGGTGTGTTCCTCTACACGCCGGGCGAACCCAGTTCGTGACTAAGAAACTAGTTCTTTCGTACCTACATTAGCGTCAGGCACACACTCCACCAGCTGAGCGCCGGCGCACCTCTTTGGTCAGCAGGCCGCCTGTCAGAGACAGCAGAAGCCACCGTGCAAACCCCTCACGGGCGTCGGGAAATGCGGGGCGAAAAGTAAGCGCCTCCGAAATGATGGCCTGGACATTCCGGGCACCTTGGCTGCTTCTGGAATGCTGGGTGGTGAGCATTCTTAAGGGCTGCTGCTCGCCCTTGCAGAGGGATATCCTTCACGCTCACAGCAAGCAAGTCACTCTCTCTTCAGTCATTCATTGACCAGTCATTCATTTTGTAGCCCGGTGCTATCAACAAAACACTCATTCTTCTTCACATTCTTTGTCACATTCTTCACAAGGTATACCCACCAACAAATATACCCACAAAACCTTTATCTCTACGACCAACATCAACTCAACCATGTCTATGTCCAAGATCTTCCAGACTGGCGCTCTTGTAGCTGCCCTCATCGCTACCGTGGCCGGCCACACCTCTGTCGAGCAGTTCGAGGCTGGAGGCAAGACCTACCCCGGTTTCCGCCAGGCTTCCAAGCAGGATCCTGGTAACAAGTCGCCTGCTTGGTGGACCAATCAGGGCTGGGGATACCAGCCCATCTACGGCGACAAGCTGAGCCAGTACGTTCATGCCAACTCTAGTTCTGCCCTTTCTTGCATGTACTAACCAAACATCAGCCCCGACATCATTGCCCACAAGGATGCCTCCCCCTCCCCATACACCGTCGAAGCCCCCGCCGGCCAAGACGTAACCTTCCACTGGCACCACGAGGGCAGCTGCGGCTCCGGAGAGGAGGGCTGGGACTGCTCTCACCACGGCTGGACAGCCACCTACATGGCATCCTGCAACGGCGACTGCAAGAACGTCGACAAGACGAAGCTCGAGTTCTTCAAGATCCACCAAAGCGCCCTCCTCGACTACCGCAAGGGCCGCTACTCCTCGGGCCAAGCCCAAGGCCAGACCGGCTACTGGGGCACCGACGCCATCTTCTACGACAACGGAAACACCCAGAAGGTTACCATCCCCTCTGAGATCCCCAGCGGCAACTACGTCCTCAGGACTGAGGTTGTGTCTATCCACAACAACGGCGATGTTAGCCAGCGCCAGTTCTGGCCTCAGGCTTTCAACATCAAGGTCACTGGCGGTGATGACAGCAAGCAGGTCCCTGCTGGAAAGAAGGGAACCGAGCTGTACAAGGCTAGCGATGAGCTCCTTCAGTGGGACCTCTACTGGCACCAGGCTGGCGAGACTATTGAGGATGCGCCTGGTCCTAAGCTCGCTGCTGTCGCTTCCGTTCAGAAGCGTGCTCACGCTCGTGACTTCTCTGCTTAGGCAACCCTTATTTACACTTTCTACCTCTTCACTTCTTTTTCCGTCTGCTTAGGGATGGTTGGTCGCACGCTATACGGGTTAGCTGCGCGGATTACAAAATGGTGTACACGGGCATGAGGTGGGGTTTAGGCTTTCACGGACTGGGACTGGGCTTTTTTCTTCTTGGTCATCATCTTTTGGGGGACTGGGTCTTTCGATAAGGATGACGATGCGACGACCTTTTCATGATTCACTTCTTAGATACTCTTAGGCATTACTGCAATGCAAGTTTCGAGCACGGCGCTCAACCACACAATGATTTTGGTTTTCCTGATTCCGTGATCTTTTCCTCTTTGTGATACGTGGCTTGTAGCGGCCATTGACTCGTCGTGTGAGCTAGGCGTGGCCGTCGCTATTCGACTTGGCTGAAGACTTCGGTTTGACTAGTCGAACGGCAGCTTCGCGATTCTCTGGAAATCTCATTTCCCCTTGGCTAATCACCCACCGCAGAGTTCATGCCACACTCTGACGCGAACCGCCCGATGCTTACAGGATATACACACGAATCGGGTTATCGTAGTACTCACTCGGAATCTTAACCCCCTCACGATCCATCCATCTAACACTCATAGTCCACGCATGAAGCCGCATCATCATCGTCCACCAGACATCTTCATACGAAATGTTCTTGTTCCCATTATGATGGTGGCTCTGCTCCATTTGTTCAACGAACTTCGGTACGTTCTCGGCGTAAATATAAGCGCGCTCAGTAAAGATGGGGTCCAGACCAGTGGGAAGCGGGTGACCTCTCCCTTTATCTTGCTGTGCAGCGGTGTTCCGCAAGGCTAGTTCGTAGCTTTGCACGTTGACGGATATGTGGCAACGCACTGCGTGACTGTAAAGAGGGACATAAAGCCCCCCTAGAGAGCGTTCGAGGTACGCGGTCGTGTCGACGAATGCTCTCTTGAAGAAGTCTAATTCTCGAGTGTCTGTTCTTTCGATCCGGTGTTCCCCCTCGAATTTCCAGGGTGCCAAGCCTTCCCAGCTTTCGTAGAATTGAAGTACATGTTGTTTGCAATTTGACAACTGTGCCTCTTGCCTTTTGAGTAAAAACCTCCAGACGTTGCGTGACTCAGGCCTCTCGCCCATTGTGGTCAGCGGAAATGGGAATGGATTGTCGACGGCATTCAATGCCATGTTGTCTATGAGTGGCCATTTGCAGAAGAGGCCGATGATATCCGTAAACCCAGGAAGTCTGTGAGCGGGATCTTGGCACGATATGCTTGCCTCCAAAGCTAGTCTCGCATCGCCATGTATTCCCATGATGTCTGATGAGTGTCTGAGATCCGGCACATCCGGCGTTTGTTTATTCCTGAGAAGCAGACCCTTATCGCTGGCGATAATAGGAAGTATTCCACAAGCCATCTAAGCTATGTCAGCCAGAGAGAACTCCGATGCTATGGGTTGCTCTTATGGGTAGCGGGACGTCGCACACAGCTGATCCAAATAGGAGCCCTTGAAGAAGACAATGGTCTTGGATGAGCGCAGCATGATCGCCGCAAGATCAACCGGAAGATATATATGTAATATCACGTACCTGGTCTGCAGCCGTACTGTTTATACGCCATTCGTGGTCTGGAAAGGGGTGAGGCCCAGTTGTGCTATATTCCACGACCAGCCCCATGCCGCGTACAATAGAAGTGGAGAAGCTTCGTCCGCTACCAGCTGCGCGCATCTTGCCCTCGTCAATCCGAAAGTCTGACCAGGCCATGCCCAATCGATGAGCCATAGTGATCAAGCATCCCACTGTGGTACTCGCGACTGGTCGCACGATATCTGGTGGCATGAAGTCCCAAGAACGTATCTTTCC